ATTTCAAAGACAAAAAAAACTGATTGAATCTCAATTTTTTTTTAGTACTACATAAATTGAGAAAGAAGAAATGACCTCTATTATTTGAAAATAACATAAAAATATTACAAATCATACAATAAGAATTAACAATTTAAAATTTTAAAAGACTCTAATGCTTTATACTTATTCTATTTCCACTTTGGACAAAAATATCCTCCCAATATGCATATTTTTTTAAACAAAAAAGTGGGACCCATTATTGATGTATTCAAGGATGCTTTAGTAATTTTCCTATGATGAATTCGTTTTGTTTGTTGTTTAATTTTTTCTAAATAATTGTATAAAATATTATAAATCACAATAATTATTTACTTAAATATTCAAAAGATATAAAAATATGTAAAAGATCTGATTAACTCTTCAAATTTTATCGGTGACACATAAATTGGACAAATGAAATAATATATATTATTTGAAAATTACTTAGAAAGTACAATAATTTACAGTAATTAACAATAGAATATTTTAAAGACAAAAAAATTGATAGAATCTCAAAATTTTATTAGTACCACATAAATTGAGAAAGAAGAAATAACCTTTATTATTTCAAAATTGCGCAAAAGATATTACAAATCATACAACAATAATTAGCAATTTAGAATGTTAAAAGACATAAAAATTTTTTACCATAGTTAACAATAATAAAAAATTTAAATAATTTTGTCTTTGTCACATAAATTGAAACAAAAAATGATACATATTGGGCCCGTGCTACCACGGGATCCGATGGCTAGTCTTATATATATGAGTATCAAATCCTTTTAAAATCACATAAAATATTATATAGACTATAAATAAATAAAATTAAAGAAAAAAGTATAGGCTCTAAAAATGATGTCTCTATTATTAAATATTAGACGAATAATCTTCATATGTAATGTAATTGTTATAGAACCCTATTGAATTCTTTTAACTTAACTGTGTGTGAAGAATTTCAGATAAATGTTTCATCCTTAAATTTTGATATATTTTTTCGACAATCATAAACTTTTCAGTTTTCATTTACTGCATTGTCTTGTATACCATATGTGCATGACAATTCAAGAAGTCAAGTGCCAATGAGTCGAGATTGTTCAAGATAACGAAGTTGTATGATTAGAAAAAATAAGATTTGCTGCATAAAACAAAATTTTAATAAGAAATCTTTAATATTTATAAATACACACAAACAAATAATAGTTTACCGTTATTATTATCATTTTTACATACTTTTTGTTTTTAATGTAGTATTCTTAAATGACATAAAATATTTAATTAACATCATATTATAATATAAAACTACGAATTTTTCTAGTTAATAAGATGTTAGTCACGTGCTTACAATACATTGCTTTGGATGTTACTATAAAAACTTCATTTATTAATATGAAGATTTGAGTTAATTAATTCAATGTTCGAAAGTATTCTTGGTAAAAAATAAATCTTTTTTTCCTTACACAAATCTTAAACCTTTTTTTATTTAACAATCTTAAATATTATTTTAAATGAAAATAAAATGATTAAATTCACTATAGAAAGTTTTGGGCCTCAATATTTTGATAGCCCCAAAAAAACAACTTTACTAATTTCAACCTTGAGCTACTCATGAATTAATGAGCACACTACTCATCAAAGGATATAATTTATTTCTAGAATTAAGCAACCACTAAGGTCGTTGATAGTATTAGAATAGACAAATATTATAATCCAAAAATCATATAAATACTAAAAGCTATATAACAACAAATATAAGGAAACAACATGGTTTAAACTTGAGCTACATGTAAGTTTGGAAAGCAAAATTAAATAATATAATCTATATTTATCAATCATAGGATCACTTTATCAATAAGTAAATTATATGTGATACCTAACTTGTTGCAAGAGGACTCAAATAAGTCATAAGTAAGTTTCCACCTTCCAGGTTACCTACGCAGTTTTGAGAAGATATATGTATGGTATCAATTATAAATAAGGGTGTTCATGATTTGGGTATAAATTAAAAAATTGAATGATTTGGTTTTACATTTTTTTAAATCGATGATATATGAAGATACTTTTCTGAAGGAAGACATTGGTTAAGATATATAAACATAATTTTCTAGAACAATAAATTTTCATACATTACAAATATCAAGCAAAATATAAGTAAATAGTGAAACTTTGACGAAAACAATAAAATTATAAATAGATATTGATCTGAAGTTATTTTATGAGATTTTGATTATCCTCTCTTAAGAGAATTTTTGTATCTTTCAATAATAAAATCTTGATTAGTAAACATTTAAGTCATTGTCGGTAGACCTCCAAATTGGACCTTCTAAGGAATGAACAACACACTCATGAGTCTTCTGAGTTATTTGTTTTCTTTTACTTTGATGTCATTTTTTGGACTGGGTCACTTTTGGCATGACCCACTATTTTTTGTATATATGATTATTTTAGGAAAAATTACATAATTAAACATATTTCACTATTATTGCTTATGCTTTTAAAATATTATCTATCTTACCACTAATTTAGAATTTTCTATCATATATTAAAGAAAATTCACTTAGCTACATGTATATTTGCTACCTATACATAAAAATAGGGAGAAAGACGACTGAGATTGGAGAGGAGGCGAGTGAAATTTGTATGTATTCCAGAGTCATGTGAATCATATCAGATACATGTATCTGTAGTAATTCAAGAAATACTCAATTCTCTCATAAATAATTACAACTCATACCCTCTTTATTAAGGTTGATAATTTTCGCTTAACTGATATAAATCAGTATCATATATTGTATTGGTATCATTAAGGCTGATAATTTTGCTTAACTGATACTAAATCAGTATATATATACTGTATTGGTATCATTAATGTTTCTTGTTAAAAAATTAGTCATTAGGCAATATATAATTTCAGCATATATAATAAAAAAATGAGTATTGTTGTATAGAATATGTATTCCTATAACATATGTAAAAAAAAAGTACTGTATCATTACTATATATTTTATGTATAATAAATATATAATCAATATATAATAAGTGTATAATGTATATACGCTAATGATACACATATTATACAATTCTTACACACTATATATTTAGGAAAAATTACATGGATAAACAAACATATACTAGTTAATTAGTTAGCATAACTATAGTTTAATTAAATTACCATTCACCACTAATTTACATTCATAATTATGTGGCCAATGTCTAGAATTTGTATAATTCATATTTCTAATTGTATAAATTCAGAATTTGTATAATCCGGTTCCTAATTGTATAAATTCAGAATTTTCCTAATTGTATAGATCCAAAATTTATTTATACTTACCCCTATCTTGTATATAATTATCATGTTGATACATTTGATTTGTATAAGTTCTAAAAATTCCTAAATATATAAATACAGAGTTTGTATATACTTACCTTGTTTGTATATTGACAAATGAATTATACAAATGGTAATATCCATAGCAAATGAAATTATAGCTATATTTATGAAATCTCATCGTATATTTATACACAAGTGAGAACAAATAGAGACCTTCAAAAAAATTATCCAATCAAATATGTACCAAAAGATCATAGATCTGACGAATTCGTGGTGTTTATAGGTGAACTGGATGAAAACTTTAACATAAATATTGTATATTATGAAGATAATTATCATTTATACTTATAATATATTTATATATAATTTTAATGCATATTATAAAAAATAATTTATAGAACACATATAATACAAATTTTATTGATGAATAATATATTTATCACACATTTTAATACAATTGTAATATATTGTGTCATTCTTGTCAAACAAACATAATATATTTATAATATATCTATATTGCATGCATGATTTACTTTTAATACATAGTGCAAATTTGATATTACTCCCTCTGTACACTTTAAATTGTCATAATAAGACCATGCACAACGCTTAAGAAAATTTAATAAGAGGTGCGAATAATATAACCATATTATCAAATATCAATCATTATGAAAACAATTGTTAATTATTAAGGGTAGAATTGGAAAAAAATGACTAATTGTTTCTTGGTTGTTTTAATTGACAATATGTTTGGGACAACTATTTTTAGTATACCTGACAATTAAAAGAAACAGAAAAAAAAAAAAACTATGTATAACTATAAATAGTACTACAAATAAAAATTATCACTAAAATCAATAATTATTTATTTTAAAAAATACTCAAAATGCTAAGTTGCCATCACATTTTTTCATTTATTTACATTTTGATAGACAAAAAATGAATACATGATGAAATGTTAATTGAGGTAATCAGGTACGTCATTGTTGCTAAAAATAAAAATTGAACTCTATACTTTCTTCACCGTTGCTTTCCATTAAATGCTTTCTTCTTTGTTAACTACTTCATTTATCCTAATTTATATCACATCTTTTTCAATTTTATAGAGTTAAATAAAGAGACTTTTATAGCACAAATTTATTTATACACCTTTTACATAATTTAAATTATTAATTAACGTAATTTATAATACTTTTATATATTTTTAATTATATAAATTATTTTTAAAAATATTAAATGTTGCATGTCTGAATTCACGATCATATAAATTGGAGCAGATGAAGTAAGTACTAATACTTTTGTCTCAATCTATTTAATTTGGTACTCTTTTTAGTTTGTTTAAAAAAAAGTTATTTTTTTATAATTCAAAATAAATTTTAACCACGTAAATATCTAAAATTTGTTTTTTTATTTATATTGAGAGGGAAGGAGTACTTTTCATTTAATTTAAAGAAGAATTATTTACATCATTGCTCACAAAAGCAACAAAAAGAAACCATGTTCTAGTTTCCATAGGTAGAGGAATAGCCCATGGTTTTCATTCACATAGTAAAACAACTAGTGGCTTACAAAATTTTGATTATTTTTTTTCAACTTGTTCAAACTTTAATTCAATTATTGTTTGTACCACAAGAAATGGCTTTTCATCAACATGAAAGGTTTAGCCCTTAAACTACTATAGCTAGTAGTATATATACACATACACATAAATGTTAACTTCCATAAGTAACAAATTAAGTTGAGTTCCCTTATATATTTTTATTGTAAAGTTTGATCATCAATTATGAGTAGCTTTAGTGAAGAACAAGAAGCTTTGGTAGTCAAGTCATGGGGGTCTATGAAGAAAGATGCTGGTGAATGGGGTCTCAAATTCTTTCTCAAGTAGGCACACTATAACTATTTATGTTCTTGTTTTAATTTGTTTATCTTATTTTTTTTTTAATTCATTTTAAAATAAATGTCAGTTATCTCCGTGATACGTACGCTTAGGATAATAAGATTAAAGGATATTTTGATCTGTTCAATCTACATAATGTTAACAAAAAGACTATAAGATTAAAATAATTTCTTAAAACTCCGTACAATTCAAATATAGATAAATAAATTAAAACAAAAAAGTATATATTATGACTTATTCTTTTGGATATTTGCTGAATAATATAATTAGATGAATTTATTGATGATTTTCAGGATATTTGAAATAGCACCATCGGCAAAAAAGTTGTTCTCATTCCTCAAAGATTCAAATGTGCCATTGGATCAAAATCCTAAGCTCAAAGTTCATGCTAAATCTGTCCTTGTCATGGTAACTACCATGCCATTACTACTATTTTACTCTGTTCCTTCGTCTCAATTTAAGTATCTTATTTTTTTGTTTTATTTCAAAAATAATAAAAGAGTGCATTTTGCTATGTTTAATAAGCTTACAATTCAAATATCTTAAGAGACAAGTTTAAAATCATAAAATGTGACCCATCTTTTTCTGCATCCCATATGACATGCTTCTAGATCACAAGATTGAAATACATTTTGATGCGTTATTATATATTTTTAATCTAAGGTTATAATAAAATTATTACAGCTTAATGATATATACCTTTGATCTATAGTGACAATATTTATTTTTCTTCATAATTAATTTGTTTTTTTGGCAGACTTGTGAAGCAGCAGTTCAACTTAGAAAAGCTGGAAAGGTTGTGGTGAGGGATTCCACTCTAAAAAAAATAGGTGCTACACATTTCAAGTATGGTGTGGTTGATGAGCATTTTGAGGTATATATAATATTAATAATAATAATATTATAAACCTTCTTAGTATATTTGAATATACTTTTGGGCATACCAAATTTATTATTTTTATAATAAAGGTTCTAGATCCTACTTATAAGATTATACTGCGTATATATGTTATTATTGTATCATCTTGACTAGCATTGGAAATGATATGTGTAAGATATAGTGTCAGAGAAATGAATTTTGAATTTGACTCAATCCGAAAAGCTAGCATAAGAGATGATGATTGTCCAAGTCATATAAAGAGACCACTTTGATCCTCGATAGACTCCTCAACCCCCCACCCTTCACGTCCTGGATATTTGGAGCATGTGTAAAAATTGAATTAAGATGAGTCCTGCTGTGATATCATGTTTTAAAAAAAATGAATCTTGAGCCTAATTTAGTCCTTAAAAATTAGCCAAAAGTGAAAATTGCTCGATCTGTATAAAAAGCACACCCATCCCTTTAACCATCAATGTGTGACTCTTCACTTAGAGTCTTTAAAACTCTAGATAAAACAAATTAAATAGTCATTCAATTTGGCAAGTTGTCACAAAAATACATATGTTGGAAATTAAAATTCTATTATTTTGGTTGACAGGTAACAAAATATGCCTTGTTGGAGACAATAAAAGAAGCAAGTCCAGAAATGTGGAGTGTTGAGATGAAGAATGCATGGGGAGAGGCGTATGATCAATTGGTTAGTGCTATCAAGACTGAGATGAAGTAGCTAACCTTCAAAATACAATAAAATAAATAAATTTACATCCTCTTGTATAACGACAACAATAACATTAGTCTTGTAAATGGGGTCTGAAATCGAGAATATAATGTATGCATATCTTATTTCTATTTTTTATGGAGTAGAAGGACTGATTCCGATTAACTATCGGCTCAAAATATTTTGTATTACTTTCAAAGTTTTGTAATCTAATTTGTGTGCTATGTCTTTTGTATATATGTATGGATTATTTATTTTTTGCATTTTTGTATACATTATCTAAGGAATTAATTTGGTGTATGAATTTTATTTTTCTAGGCATGTATCAAAGGAATTAATTTGAAAAATAAGGCAAGTAATAACCTTCTCTATAAAAAAAATTGTTTTTAACTATTAATGCACCTAAGATAAATCCTTTAATTAGGTGTAAGGCAAAAGTATTCATTACCCCTGAACTTGAAGATTTTTATTCGGTGTACACCTAAATTATATTCCGTTTTAATTACCTTCGAACTTGTTTATTCCTCCATCATGTACACCTTTTTTGTCCACCTACTCCTATTGTGATTACACGCGCGCGACAACTGACAAAAGTGGTGATGTGAATTTCCACCTGGATAAATAAGTCACCTAGATAAATTAATATGACAAAAAATAAATATCAAACCTTCTCACCTTCTCACCCAAAACTTTTGGACTAAGCTTCTCACTAAAACTTTCGGACTAAACCCGAAAATCTTCAAGAAATTAATATTTAGTACTGGAGAACTCAGATTAAATGCCAGCACAAGACTTTTATTGTTGAGAATAAAACAAATTAATTTTGGATTAAAAAAAATCAATGGGGAGTGGGGTTGTTTCTGTAAAAGTATCTTGAAGAAGATGAGTTGCAGGGGAGGATGCGGGGTTGCAAGGGAGGGGATAGGGTGCTGCAAAATAGATTTTAAAATAATTAAAATAATTAGATAAAATGCTACATGTCATTTATTCATTGGATAGTTTTTCTTAAATTTAAAATTCATTGTTTAAAAGTTATTTTTGAATAAGGGTTGATTTCGCGAAACTCCTTCTGGATTTAGTTTTTCTAGACGTGAAGTTGGTTGATTAAATTTTAAATTTGTCTGAAATTCTTACCAAGTAAGTGTTAATCTTTGTTTCCTTTACTTTTCATTTACATTTTGCCCTATTTTTCGTTTAAAATATGTTAAATATTAAAGAAAAATGGAGATTTTACGTTTTTTACCGTTGTAGCTTTATGATGTGGCAAAAAATCACCTCCTCACGCGCCTAATAGAGTGTGTTGTCAATTTCTACATCAGGTGGACGATAAAAATATACGCGATGGAGAAATAAATAAGTTTGGGGGTAATTAAAATAGAATATAATTTTAGTGTACAACGAATAAAAGACTTTAAGTTCAGTGGGTAATGAATACTTTTGCCTTAGGTGTACTACATCTATGTATTAGGTGACTTTTTGTGCTTCAGCATGTATTAGGTGTACTATATCTATCTATTAGGTGACTTTTTGTGCTTCAGCAATATTGGTCAAATATGCTATGCTACAATTTTGTAAAATAATCCAAGGACAGTGATGAGTTGGAGCAGGTCAGTAGAATCCAAAGGGTTTAATTAAGGAGATATGATTGTTCCTTTCTTAATTGCAGATGTTACATGTTTGAACCTTGGATATGTAAAAATCTTTAGTAGAGAATGTGTCCCTCAGAGTCTTACACGATGCAAATTCAAAATAGTCGAACTCTAATATAGATATCAGACATCGGGTGAGAAACCAAAAAAAAAAAAAAATCTCATTTTGAGCATTTTTGGTTGAAATTAGGTTTCGAATTTTCAACAAGTTTGACATAATATTTTGAAATTTGTTACTTTCTGTGTCCTAATTTAGATGACTCACTTTTCTTTTTTAAGCAATTTAAAAAGGAAAATTTTTCAAAATGTCAATATTTTAACATTTAATAGGCCCTTTAGCCACATTTTCAATATTTATTAAAAATGTCAATATTTCTTTTGTTATAGAGCTAATTATGTATTTTTTCATTTATTTTATTTTAAAGAATACAATTAGTTAATAGCATCAAGGAGAAAATCACGGGAGAGAATATTTTAAAAACTTTTAAACTGAGATTTAAATTGAGAGATATTGAGATACATTGTGAGTACAGAAATACAAACTTTTTATGGCATATCGTTAGAATGAATGCAAATAAAAAAGAAATACAAACAAAAATTATGTATTATTCCAGATAATTAGCTAGAAAGATACTATTATGAACTACTAACTTTGTATCCACTACCGAGGTTGAATACAATTTGATGACCAAAGTACAAAATTAGTAGGCATAGTTAAAATAAATACAAAATAAGAAGCAATATAACAAAAAATATGTTATATTTCACATAATCCCCGCAAAATAATATTATGTACTACAAAAATTGTATCTAAATATGCCTTGTTGGAGACAATAAAAGAAGCAAGTCCAGAAATGTGGAGTGTTGAGATGAAGAATGCATAGGGAGAGGCCTATGATCAATTGGTTAGTGCTATCAAGACTGAGATGAAGTAGCTAAGCTTCAAAATCCAATAAAACAACAACAATAACATTAGTCTCGTAAATAGGGTCTGAAATCGAGAATATGATGTATGCATATCTTATTTCTATTTTTTATGAAGTAGAAGGATTGTTTCCGATTGACTATTGGCTCAAAATATTTTGTATTTCTTTCAAAGTTTTGTAATCTAATTTGTGTGCTATGTCTTTTGTATATATGTATGGATTATTTATTTTTTGCATTTTTGTTTTCATTATCAAAGGAATTAATTTTGTGTATGAATTTTAACTTCTAGACATGTATCAAAGGAATTAATTTGAAAAATAAGGCAAGTAATAACCTTCTCTATAAAAAATTGTTTTTAATTATTAATGCACCTAAGATAAATCCTTTAATTAGGTGTACTATATCTTTGAATTAGGTGACATTTTTGCAGCAATATTGGTCAAATATGATATGCTACAATTTTAACTTATTACCCCAAATCCCAATAGATCATTGAATTATAAACAATTATATTTGACATAAGTTTTAAAGGTTAATTTTCTGTCTATTTTTATGCGTTCAATATTGACTGAAATTTTAATATCATGGTTGAGCATGCATATATATATTACTATATAAGAAGAGGGAATAGCAGGTAGCAGACCGTCAACACGTCTTCTTTATCCCATGAAAAAAAGTGAAATTCATTTAATATTTCAATTGTAAACTTACTTTCTTAAGATCCTTTATAAGATGGGGTCATGAATATATTTTATGAGCTCATTTATATTTTATATTTATCATGTTTATTTTTATTATTTATGTTAAATTTATTATAGTTAATTCTTGAAATTCTATCGACGAAATAGCACAAATAAATATTACGAATTTCAAATAATAATGATTGGGCATGTGCGAAGCATGAGCTCCATCAACGTGTGTGATTCCCGAAATTTCTACAATAGCTTGAGGATTTTTTTGTCCATTACTTTTATTTTATAGCTTCTAATGTTCAGCTTGTTGCAACTTTTATGACTTTTTTGGAATTCTCTGACATAATTAACCTTTGGTTACCTCATTTATTGTGCTTACTAGTGATACTTATTATGGGTCGCACTCAACTCTTTCCCTTCACTTTTAAGCTTCAGCAAAACAATTCTAATATAGAACATCTCTCTGTATAACTTTTTTTCGGTAAAATTTATTATTTCCTCCGGCCCAATTTATATGGTTCATTTTGAATTTTAAAATTTAAATAAGTCTATCTTTGATCATAAATTTTCATACATTTTTAAAGTTTTCCGATTATCGATTATTGTAACTTATAGTACTTTTATGTAGTTTATAAATATATAAATTTCATTTAAAAAAATTGAAGATGTCATGCGCAAATTCTCGATCAAACTTAATTGTTTGACTCTCAAAAAGTAAAATGTGTCACATAAATTAAGACAGAGGAAGTAATTGATTTTATTTGAAAATGCAAAACTAATTTTACATTATATTTCGAATTTTTAAAAAATAACTTATAGTTTGTTTGTTTGCTCACTTTTAAAATAGCATTATATTCAAATATAAATATTATCCACATATTATAAAGGAAAACTTGCATAGATATCCTCTATTAAGAAAATGTTTATCACTGATAGCAATAAGATATTCTTTTCACTAGACACTTATAATACATTTATAATACAATTTTAATACTTGTTAGAGAGAATAGCTTATAAACGCATATGATATACATTTTATTTATGGATAATACATTTATTATACACTTTAATACACTTATAATATATTTATAATACAGTTTTAATACATGTTAGAGAGAATAATTTATAAACACATGATACAAAATTTATTTTTGGATATTACATTTAAACGTTTTTGGATAATACGTTTAAAAAATTTGGACCAACTAACTTATGAAGTTTTTTATGATAAAAAAATATATCTTAAATATTTCACATATATTATTGGGCCCGTGCACAACACGGGCTATCTTTTACTAGTATATATATAAATGAAAAAGTGTTCAATGAGTTATCTTAGATTTGTTGTTAAGGAAACGACATTTTTAGTCCCTGTGTTAAGAATATATTCTTATTTTAGTCCTTGTGTTATCTAACTTAGCACTATTAACCTTCAATTATATAAAGTGAGTTATTTTAATCCTTCAACTAACAGATCCAAAAAGAATTAACAGAAAGTTCACTGCTAAAAGGGGTAATTCGGATATTTCATTTTAATTCTCTCTCTTTGAAGAACAAGCTCAAGTCTTCCCTGCTCTGATTTATTTAACTCTCGTTGTCTCTTCTCGATTTTTCATAATTTTTAGCTGGGTTTTTCTATTCATAAATAGGGTTTTTTTTTCCAGTAAAGCCTGTTGTTCAATTGTATTGCTGCAACTTTTAGCCATTTCTAAGTCACTCAAACAATTCAAAGAAAAGTAAATTTATCATCCTTTTTAATCGACTAAATGAATTGATCTCCCGATCGCTAATTTCCATGTCCAAATGGCAAGATATATGTGTAGTTTTCGAAGCTACTTTTCCGTTTTAATTGTTTGATTGGGACTTGCAGTTTAAAACAAGCCTTAGAAAATTATTACTAATGAATTTCATAATCTTACTGTAACATCTCGCAACTAGAATGAACTAGAAGGAAGTTTAAAATCTGGAAATAGTTATTTTTGGAAAGTATAAGGA